TGTTCAAGGATTTAATCAACTCCTCCCTCTCCTCAAAGAGTTTTGAGAGATTTTCCTGAATAGTCTTGATCTGGTTGTCTTTTTGACTGATCTGATTCTGAATTGCCTTGATTATTCCTTCCATTCTCTTGTTAGAGTGTCTGCAAAACAATTGTTTGCTGACTTAATATATTTAATATATGGTTCATATTGATGCAATTCTAGTTGCCATCTGATTAATCGTCCTTTTTGGAATTCTGGTTGTATCTTATACCTCCAGAATCCTGTTACATATTGTGAATCAGTTCGTAATTCGAACCGAGTTTGTAGGAGATCAATTTTCCATTTCTTCAAGGTTCGAAGACACGCAAGTGTTTCGAGCTCGTGAATTGGATAATTCATCTCTGTTCGTGAGAATGTTCCTGAGATATATTTGCATAATATTGTTTTTTGTTTCTCAGTTTTTGGTACTTCATTATTATTAGTACGACCATATTGGTCAAGATGGAGTAATTCTTTTCCATCCTTTATTGCTAGCATGCATCCTGCCCAAACTTCTTTGGATGCATCTGTTTCAATAATCAAAAAGTCTTTGGTCGTTGGATTGTATAATTTTGGTAATATCTTTATATTTTCTTTTATATGTTTTACTAAATTTGTATCTTGATTAGTCCAAGACCATGGTATTTTGTCTGATATTTTCTTTTGTAATTGTTTTCGTTCTTTTGCTAGGGATTTGAGAAATCCCTGCTCGGAAACATAGTTAAGGCACCCAAGGAACCTTTGTATTTGTTTTCTGTCTGTTAATTCGTTAGGAAATTGTTGTATTTTTTCATGTACATTATTTGTTAGTTCAATTTCTCCGTTTTTATTTATTTTTAAACCAAGATATTCAATTTCTTGTTGTACTAATTTTGATTTCTTTTTAGAAATAATTAATCCTTTTTCTTTGCATCGTTCTAGAACAGTGATTAATTTTTCAGTGTGTTCTGATTGTGATCCGTTTGTAAATATTATGATATCATCAATGTATGCTAG